GGGGGAAAGCAGATAAACATCAAATTTTCATTTTTGGGTGAACTATCCCTTAAACTAGTTGCTTATTAGTGTGCATATTACTAGAATATTAGCCATTTATTAGTACTAATTAAGCACATATTAATGCCTTATTCTACATGACCTTATTCTGCATCCCTAATCCTACCTAATACCTAAACTTAACAACTACCTTACTAACTATTAATAAGCAGCAAATTAGGAATTTATTGAGGCAAAAGTCGTAGTTAATAGTGAATAAGTGTTCCCTATTCTAAAATGTTACCAAAAAGTCCTACTGCTAGATAACTTTATACGCATGCACAACTTGAGTCTGAGGAAACCAGTTGGTATGGTGAATTCAAATAGTCCTGGGATGCACGGGAAAGTGAGCGGAGGCGAATCAGCAGACGCCGAAGAACAAAACAAAAAGGCATAAATCTCAAAAGAAGACAGATATTCATCAAGCTTGAAGACGATATGGTGAGTGGTGGGAGCTATAAACAAGCTGTGTCTGGTGAATGGGTCTGTTATTATTGAATAAATAAATAAAATAAAATAGCTAATTTGATGACCAAAAATATATAGCCATTAATGTGTCACCTGGGGATTTTCACTGCCATTGTGGCAAATTAACTGAAAGCACACAAGACAAATCACCTTCACCCATAACTTCTTTACAACTATACAGCAGCCAGGCACCATTGCTGAGGAGAGGTTTAATTAAGCCCACAGAAGGACATACTGCATAATTGAGCAATATTTTTTGCTGAATTAGCAAGTCCAGTGGAGACCTGAAACTGAACCCTTCACAATGTGGTTGTAGTGGTTACTGTGATTCTTAACAACAGAGAAAAATGTCAAGGTCATGCTGCTGATGAAGATGCTGCTGCTGCTGCTGATTCTCTTGACATCAAGGCAAGATATGCATCCTGCAGGAACAAAAACTTAATTCACAATATGTTTGGTTATTTATATATATATATATATATATATATATATATAT